ACCTCGAATTCTTTCTTCATTTTAAGTATCCATCCCAAGACTTCCAGAATTTTGACTTCATTCTACTCGAATAACAAAGAGATCAAACTAAACAATTGAGGACAGTCTATCTAAGTACAAAGCACAGAGTAGGCTGATTAAAACCGAAAAAGTTCCTTGCTGTCGGTCTGTCGGTCAATCAGTTCGGGTTGTGGCATTCTTATCTCTCGGGAAAGAAACATATCGCAAAGCCTAAACCGTAGGAAAGCGAAAGAGCTTCGATCATTTACACAACTAAGCTTACTCTTTTTGCTATTATCATGTCCACGCCGGCGACCAATTTTACACAGCAGGAGAAACAGAGTGAGCATAGTACTAATGGCACATCTTCTACTGGTCAACAGCAATCCAAGTTGCAGAATGGTTAGTGGAGGATCCTGGAGACATTCTTTGGAATTAGCCATGGTCGCACAATGCCATTGTACATGTAGACTAACATTTCAGTAGGAGGAAATCACAAAAGGATTTACCAAGCTTGCATCCCATGGTAATTGATCCGATTCAAATATCTTATCTCAAGGCTAATTGTCATTGCAGTCGTCGTCGCAAAGTGAGATGTGATTTAGGAAGTGTCGATAACCCGAGTGATCCACCATGTGTACGATGCCGACGCGAAAGTAAAGAATGTTTCTTTTCAGCCACCAGAAGAAAGAGAAAGGCCGATGGCAGTAGAGAAAACAGTGTTGAAGATGAATATGCTGATGACTATGTAACGCGCAATGGTCGAAAGATGGTCTCCGGCTCTCCCCCCGCAACTTTCAGACAAAACTCTATGGGAGCACCCTCTTCTGCTCGATCGACAAGCAACGCTTTCGCTGATAGTGCGCGCATGGATCCTGGACCTCCTCTTACGCCTGGTGGTTCTATTGGGAGAACTCAGCCTCTACGAAGACCTCAATCGGAAACCCGACAACAAGAAGAAAGAGATCAGAATGTAGAGAATCCAGAAGCGCAAGAGGTTATGAGACAGGAGGTTTACGGCCCTCATGATGCTTTGGATCTTCTTTACAAGGCTGCTACTGATAGGTATGTTGAGCACTTTCATCTGGAGCAATTCACATCTAAATAGTTGTTTCGCATTGCTGTACTTTCTTTGTACAGCTTTAATGAGAGAAAATGCTTCTGGTATTTTGCAATTGGCTAGATTTACAAGAATACATCATCATCACGAAAATTTGTACTAATTTCTTCTATAGTCCAGGTCACAAAAGAGCAAGATTGGATTCCAATAGCCAAGAATCTCCAAGAATTGGCCACAGAGCACAATCTGCCTCTCAGAGCTATCAAGGCCCTGCAACTCAACATACTTCATTTCCTATAAGCCACATGCGACACACAACCACCCATACGGAATCTTCCATCGATCCTACGTTGTCAACTGGTGATACCATTCCATTAGACAAAGATCATGATCTGGGATACCAGGATGCAATTAAAGCTTGGTCAAGGTTCAGATTTGTTCGCGCAGGATGGTTTACCGCAGCGGAAGCTATTCAATATATTACATAGTAAGTTTTCCTTTTTCACTAACTTGACACGAGACTAATGATTGGATTAGCTATTACGAATTCTTGTCCCCATTAACACCTATCTCTCCCCCTACTTTCAAAGAGCCCTACACTCATCCTATGCTTCTAGTCGAAGAACCAATTCTCACGGTGACATTATTGACAATTTCAAGTCGGTACATGGAAATGTCTGGAGCTGGAGGACATTCCAGATCGTACGCGATCCATGAACAGCTTTGGACTTACTTGCGAGGCATGATCGAGAGATGTCTTTGGGGTCAAGAAGCATTCGGTGGTGGATTTTGTGGTTCCGGCGCAGAAGCTTCTCTTACATCAAGCACTGCACCATGGAGAGGACTTCGGAAAGGCAGTCTTCGTACTCTCGGTACAATTGAAAGTCTTATGATCTTGACAGAATGGCACCCTCGCGCTCTTCACTTTCCCCCCGCAGAAGCAACTGATGAACTTATGTTACCAGTTCCTGATAAGGAAGATGCTTTTACTACTGATGAAGAAGGCAAACACCATCTACCTGGCGGTGTTGGAGGCCGAAGAATCGAAGGCTGGCTAGAACCTGCTTGGAGAAGTGATCGAATGTGTTGGATGTTGTTGAGTACCGCCATGGGCCTCGGCTACGAACTAGGTGTTTTCGATGATATTGACGAGTCGTTAGCTGATGGTGGAGAAATGACACGACCAGAATACAACGAGGAGTCATATCGAATAAGAGCCGCGAGAATCAAGCGATTGGTACTAATCTATGTCACGCAATTAGCTGGACGTTTAGGTTGGACCAATATGGTTCCTGAACACCTGCGAAAAACCGATCCTGCATTTGCTCCACGAAAACGTAGGCTATCGATTGATGGTAAAACCCCCGAAACCAATACAACCACTGTTACAAATTTTAATTACATTCCCGATTTAGAATTGGATGATCAGATTATTCATTGCTGGGCCGGAATTAGCAATGCCATGCGTATGGGCAATGAAAAGATTTTTAGATCTAGGCAATACACGACCAAAATCATCCAAGACGGTAGCTACACGGATCTCTTGAAGGATTTTCAACCAATGTTAAGTTCATGGAAACGAGAATTCGACAGATTTGGATTGCCTCTCTACATTCGACATATTCTGACTATAGAGTACGAGTATGTCAGAATATACATAAATTCTCTCTCGTTGCAGGCTGTTGTTGAAAGATGCACAAGCAATGCAACCAATCGAACAAACACCTCCAATGATTCAGGTTTACCACTAGGAAGTGCCATGTCCCCAGAAACACAAAATTACTTCGGAAAGCTACCATTGGCAAGACTCGGTGGTTTTGGAGCGACTGATCAGGGATATGTCAGAGAAGTTGTCGAGGGATGCCGCAACCTATTACGAACCGTCGTAGAGGGACTTCTACCAAACGATTACCTGAAGCATGCTCCTGTTCGAACATACTTCCGGATTATAAGTGGTGCTATGTTTTTGTTGAAAACATTCGCATTAGGAGCATCTAAACACGATGTTGAGATCAGTATCAGCCTCATGGATTCTGCGGTCAATGCACTTCGTACTTGTGTAGTCGATGATGTCCATCTCGGGATTCGCTTTGCGGAATTGTTGGAAACATTGACCAAGCGTCTGCGTAGTCGCTTCATTAGCGCCCCCGAAGCACCTCCCCTTTCAGGAGAACCCGCAAGTAGAAGTCGCACTCCAGTACCACCTCATGACGCAGATCCGAACAAAATGAGACGTGACCCAGCTGATCCGGTTCGAGATTGGAATGATGGTATGCCCAATTACCACGTAAATGGTCCAGGTAAGTTCAAATACCCAACACCCTTCCCAAATCTTTACTCTAACCACTTACTCCCCACAGATCTCAATCTCTCCGCCACGCCCTATGATCTCAACCAAGGAGATTTCTACGCCGGCACCCATTACCCTGCAGCACACGGCGGTCCAAACTTCAACAGTGACTCCATCAATTCCATGTTCGGCATCTCAGGCTCTAGCAACGACTGGGGTAACAACAATAGCAGCGACGAAATGTGGTATTTACCACCCGGATCCGCCTTCTATCAAGATCTCAATAGTCAGGTCAATATCACGCAGACGGCGGATGGCGTTAATGTGGGCGGTATGGATTTGCTGGATTACATGGCGTTGGATAATGCGTTCCCGAGTGATGGTCAGGTTTTGCATTGATTGATTGGAGATGATTCTGCAGATGATTCAAAGGGATATTATGTGGGTGGCGTGAGCCCTTTTATAGCGACGGCAAGGCGAATGATACCAAGGAACGTGTTGGGAGGTCTGGTTTTGGTTTTACTTCTGCATGCAATGGAGTTGATGGCTGGTATGGGGGTATCTTGATATTTTGAGCGGGAATTGGTCACAATTAACGAAAAGAGTAACGGTGTCAGGTTATACTTTGTGATTGGAATGAATTACGATACAGATATGAAACGAGTATTTCTCCATAGATGTATTTGGAGAGGCAAGTCATAGTAGCTTGAATAAACATTTTGTGCCAACTGAATAGACCTCGAAGTTTGGCTGGTTCTTATGCATGTCTGAACAGCAAATGATGTGATAAAATGATAACAAAAGCAATGAATTTGATTTTTGTTTTGAAGAGATTATGTGGATATCTTCTTCACGTACATGGCAAGCCGCGCATCGCAATGAAAATAAGTATCCGTGTGAACGGGAGGGAATGAAGAGGCTACATTCAAGCATGGACATTTCCTAATCTTCAAATTGTTAGTGATAGTTTTATCATCAACCGATTGCGAGGAAGTGTAGAGGAAAATGAAATGTCAGATCAAAAGCCTAGTCATAGGCAGTTTCATCAATTACCAACGTGTGGATATGTCGACCGTCGTGATAAATTAATCATCATGTTAAGGAGTGAGGATGGTGGAAGTGTACTAAAAAGAAAGTAACATACCATAAACGAAGACCCGGGTCAAATAGTACCATGCTAGACGATGCAAGATAATGTCAACTGAGGTTGATGGAACATCGCATTCAAGAATCTAAAGAACAGTCGTTAGTAATGGCTACGACTGAATTTAAACAGTAAATAATAGCATGAGCATATTCAGTTAAGATAGGCTCGTCACAGCCGAGGCTTGGACATATGCTTGTCATTGTCGATCGATGTCATCAGAATGCTCGAGGGCTGTCGGAAAAATGTGAGAAGAGAAAATATCTTACCATAATAAGTTGACACCATAACATTGGCCAACAAGAGTATTGCAGCGATTCGGAAATCTAACAATTTAACGTTAGCACAAGCCTTGACAAGATCAATAACAAGTAAATTCTTTTCGTCAAAATTCAGAAGGCATGAATGGTATAATTTTGATGTTGTCAACATGGAAAACTCCAATCAGACTCGTCATCTAAAAATGCTCATCATAAAGAGTGTGAAATTTAAGAGAAAATGTCTATTTACCTGATGCTACAGCCCTCACGGAGGTTTCGATGCCCAGAGTCAATGAAGACCTGGAACACCTGATGCGTACCCAAAGTATTATCAGATCTATGTTTCCAAAATCAGAAACCATATATCAAACATGTGTTCAACAAATGCTGATGTAATGACTGATATCAGTGGGCGAGGTTTTCTAGGCCTGCCGTAAAATGGCATATCCATCAAGACCAGAACCATTTTGGAACTGTCGGAGCCCAGTGCCATTCATCATTTTATGCAGTCTCGCGGGATATTGAAAGTGAAAACAGTTGTGTCGTACCTCTTGACTTGAAGGGCTCATCTAGTCTTAGAATATAATTAGCATCGATTCAAAGGGAAAAAATCATCAAAATGAATTGAATTGAAAAATTTGCTCAGTTACAGCCTTTTTTGTCGTCAAAAGCCCGAAAGCTTCAGTCGGTAATTTCCAGCATGCAAAAGCATAAACTGATCATCATCACAAATTATATGTGGGGGAGGGAGAAAAAAGTTTGAAAGGATGAAGGGAAGCTTACAATTGGAATGATGAGCCAAAGTAAAATCCAGAGATTTGTTACAGCAATCGCAAGGAGCATGAGATTATTTCATTGACATCTATCTCAGATGTTAGCAATGATTATAATCATGAGTTTGCTCGAATGGAATAAATTGTGATCCAATATCAGACTGACGTGTTACAAAAGTTTCATTTCCCGTAGGATCAAAGACTCTAGTTTGCGGTTGTTGTTTTGTCATCACATAGTGAGGGGAAGGGAAAGAAGATGTAGATGCGCTTACCATTGATGATGAATTGGACTGGATTGAATTGAGTTGTATCAATCCAATTCAATCTATACTGCATGAAGCAGAGGTTGTTGTTGGGTTAAAAAAGTTATTTCGGATAGAATGAAGAAGACGCAGAGTTTTGTAGCTTAAAAAATTTCATTCACGCGCTAAAGACTAGCTTAGATAGTTTAGCGCAAGATCTTTTGCAACCTGAGGTTCACCAATGAGCCGTTGATAACCTGAGACTCTACGTCGAATCGAGGATACTTTCTCAGGGTCACGTGCTATTGTTATTCAATTCGGTGTTTGTATATGCTGCTAGCTCTCACCGAGCTCTCACATTTATTAACGCCGAAAAGTGTGACTCTGTAGTTGCTCCGTAATAATAAACGTTCACTTCTCACCTCATCTCATGTCACCAACAAAAAGGATCCAATGCACGATTGGTCGATTGATGTTTACCAAGGTCTAGGTAGATTAAGTACTGGTACCTACTAGGTACATACACACAGGTATAATAAGTATATAGTTATATATATAAATATATATTTCCAACCTTCAAATTTACCATGGAAAAACATTCTTGCGAACGGAAAGACAAATGACATATCCGTCCGAAGCCCGGTTTCGCCCGTATAACTCTATCGAGTAAAATAATTCCAGACCAATCTTTGTAATTACTGTGCTGTTTGTTGTATGTTGGACTGTATATATCCCTACCCAGGAGTCATGGTCCAGGGCGAGACTTTTGGATATTACCAAGCGTATGGAATCTATTTCTCGTGATCTTATCCCACCGGAAAATCATTGCTTTGCTTTCCTTGACTCACTATGCTACTACCAGGTATATTCTTATTCCACTCAGCTTGCCCAACAAATCCGCATACCGATATTACGTTTCCCGTGTTTAATTATGCTCTTCCGGCCCCCATTCCTCCGATCCTTTTAGCGCCGGGCATTGAATGAACAAAGCAACCAAGCAAATACAACACGGGACCTGAGTGCGGGGCTCGTGGGGGGAGGAAGGGGGGAACTTCAAAAGCCACTGAACTTTCCCGTGGGAGTCGGACGTGTGACATTGATGTGATGAAAGAGGTGAGAGTGTGAGGGATGAGGGTTGAGGGTTGAGGGTGTAGCATGTCTAGCTGGGTATCTAGGTAGCTGCTAAGGTAGCTGGTAAAGCAATAAAACAACCCAAAATGGTGGAATTGGGGTATTCTAGTATTGTGGCTCGGTGTAGGAGAGTCATGTTGGGGAGGAGATCATCCAGCTCCAATATTTCTTCCTTCACAGCTTGGAAATACAATGGAGCATTGCAACTCGATGATATCAGAAGATTGGGTAAATTCCAAAAAAGTACTTATTACCCCCTTTTCCCTCCCTTTCCTTTCATTCTTCCTTTCTTCCTTTTATTTCCTCCTTCTTTCCCCCACGTTTCCAAACTATCCATCGGCGTGCTCGTTCTATCGTAATTATCGAATACTGCTTCCGGAATTCATACCCGTGTAGACCCGAGGTCCAGTGTATTTATATAACAACAGGCCGTACTTTGATACTCCCTTGGATAACTCTTTTCTATTTATTATTTAAATAGTTTATACAATCGCACAATTCAAAAACATTCCTACTCAATACTCTCAAAATGTCTCACGGCGGCGACCAAGGCTCAACAGAGCATATCAACACAGATATTATCACTCTGACTAGATTCCTCACCGAAGAACAAACAAAAGTAAAAGAAGCAACCGGAGATTTCACGTACGCCACCTCCCTTGTTTAACTCTTTTAAATCTGCAGAAAACTAACAAGAACCAGACTTCTTTGCCATGCCCTCCAATTCTCCTTCAAATCGATAGCATACTATATCCGTCGCGCAACCCTCATCAACTTGACCGGTCTCGCAGGATCAAGCAATATCACTGGAGATGACCAAAAGAAACTCGACGTCATTGGCAATGACCTCTTTATCGCTGCCATGAAATCCTCCGGAAAATGCGCCGTTTTAGTTTCAGAAGAGGAAGAAGAAGCCATTTTCTTCCCTGAAGCTAAAGGCGCCCGTTATGCCGTAGCATGCGACCCCATCGACGGTTCCTCCAATCTTGACGCTGGTGTCTCCGTCGGCACAATCTTCGGCATTCATAAACTCGCAGAAGGCTCTACAGGAACCAAGGAAGATCTCCTCAAGCCCGGTACCGAACTCATCGCTGCAGGTTTCACCATGTACGGTGCCTCGGCTCAATTAGTTATTACAATGAAGGGAGGTGGTGTCAATGGTTTCACAATGGACAATGCGTTGGGAGAATTCATTCTCACACATCCCGATATGAAATTACCTAAATCGAGATCCATCTACTCGGTCAATGAGGGAAATTCTCTTTACTGGGAAGATAGCACCAAAAACTACTTTAACTCATTAAAGTACCCCGAGAACGAGGGCGGAAAACCTTATAGCGCAAGATATATCGGAAGTATGGTGGCAGATGCTTATAGAACACTGCTATATGGAGGTGTTTTCGCATACCCGGCGGACAAGAAGAGTCCCAAGGGTAAATTGAGAATTTTGTACGAATGTGCACCTATGGCTATGGTTTTTGAAAATGGTAAGCTCTCCTTTCTCTCCCCGCAATTATACACAGAATACTAACATCATATCTCCAGCCGGCGGTCAAGCATTAAACAGCAAGATGGACAGAATGATGGAAGTGGTACCCGAGAGTATCCACGACAGATCCGGTATTTTCATGGGTAGTTGGGATGAAATGGAGAAGGTCAAGTCATTTCATAAGTGAGCAGGGAGTTTGATTATTGATATCAAGATGGTGGGCTTCGGGGATTGGGGTTTAGGATATGGTTCTAGGTAGCGAATATCATTTTGTTTATTGCCCTGAATAATAAATATACAAATACACTGATTGTGATGCGCAGTTCCTGGGTGAGGTGAGAGGGGATGAGAGTGAGAAATGAGATGTCGGAGCTGAAATGATTTGCTGATGTTGTTCATTGAAAATCCCTCTGTCTGTCTGCTCTATACGCTCTACCTTCTCAGCCGAACCACACATTCCCTCCCTGCCCGAGAATTCGAGTTTCTTCATGCATACATACAAACTCACCCCCTCCCAAATATCAAATATCTATAATTAATTTATACGACCAAAAAAAGAACGAAAGAGCAAGGCAAAACGTCACTCACTCAGTAAGATATGATTTGATGTGATATGATAGAATAGCTATCATGTAATACAGTATGGCTTGGCACATAGTCTGCTGGTATGACTGGGGGATTGTTAAGTAATGGTGAAGTAATGGTAATGTTAATGTAATGGGGACTAAAATAGGTTACAAGAAAGCAAGAAAGTAAGAATATATAAACCCATTGATTGTATATATTTAATTTGTACTTGTATGTAGATCAGCGTATATGTAGAGTTGTAATATAATGTATACATGGGGAATTTCAAAGTATCTAATCGTATTATATCGCATGGCGTTGATTAGGTGGATTTGTAAAGTTTATAGTCAATAAGCTATAACATATACTCCCCCCCCCTCCTCAGTAACCTAGTATAGTAATCTTCTCCTCGGAAAACCTCGCTTGTAGATAGTGAACACAAAACTTAAGTATAGCAGATATATCATGGGTTCTCAGATTTGTATCGAAGTATATATATAATACATCCTCTCTCACCCTCCTCTCTGTTATTTCTTCAACATCCAGGATTGAGTATTTCCGAAGCACATCTGTAAATTTTATCTTTACCCATTGTCCTCTACATACCCATCTCTTCCTCTACATTTACATCCACCTATCCACATGCCTCCTTACTCCCCTCCCCTAAGCCTCTCAAAAACGTTTATATATATCTTCCCCCCCCCATTCCTAAAAATCAAACAACACAGTAGCCCTTTCAACTCTTTACACCATTCCTTCCCCTATCTCTTCCTCATAGGAACCACATCTCCACACACAAAGTCCCACACATCCTCCGCCTCCGAAAAGTAATGATGCACCAGCTCCCATGATCTAAATCAAATCATCCCTCACCCCTCACCCCTCACTAAAAACTATCATCCATCCATCCATCCCACCCTTTAATATGGAAACAGGAATTCCGCACCCCAACATCCATACCACTCTGACACGACAAGCGCCCGGTCTTCGACACCACAGGAGGAATCCAATCCTGAGACATACGACTCGCACTTCTCAGAAACGACAAGCGACCCGCAGCGACGTGTCCAAAAGGGAATTTCTTATGCTTAAAGTATAGTGTAACGCCCTCTGTTCTCATCATCCCATCAAGCTGCACATTCGTCGTGTAATCAATTTCGCGTCCAAGCTTCCTGTAAATCTCGACCCATCGATCTACATCATGATCTGTGAGATTTTGACTTGTATCAAATCGTACGGAATATTGTTCCAATTTTGGGAAATCCAAGCGTAAGCGACTTAGAAATATACTCTGATTGGTGGAAGTATGATCAAGAGCCAGTCGTTTAACATGTTCAGTCATATGTCTGAAATTATGTCTCCAAGGAACTTCTGTTCTGAGCATCGTGTAAAGTTGTGTGCTGATATGCAAGGTGTCAATCTCAGCACTGAAGCATGATTCGGGGAGCCGAAAGTATGGTTTATAAGTAAACATCACTTCTTTGCTAGGTATCAAGGATTTTGAGATCAGGATTTTGGAGGTTAAAAGCAATCGTCTCAATTTCCAGGTAATGTGAAATTGGGCAGGGCTGTCGCTCACGATGATGGTTTTGAGGCATTTGTCGTGATGGCACTCGAGACGAATCATGCGAGGCTCCAGTTGAACAGCTAGTTCGAGAATGCATAGCACGGTTTCGTCGGGTAAAGCTATCTTCTTATTCGATGACCCGAGGTTACCAGTGGGTGGTTTGATGAGGTCAACTGGAGAGTATCGTATTGCAAGTTGGGCAGTGGGTGCAACAGATAGCTCTGTGACTGTGAGGTCTTCGTTTGTCATGATGAGAGTGTATGCATGACACGTTGATGTAGCCGCGAATAATTGATCGTTAGAATACAAAGGAACGAAGTCATCACCTTATATCACACTATGTCAATCAAGATCTAGAACATCTGTGTTGACAAAGGTAAGGATACAAGGGAGCCCAAAGGTTGAAGAGCATAATTGCTAGCATACAGTTATTGATGTTACTTGATTCGGCCGCACTATGCTACTACTAAGTAACTTGTGATGAATAATTGAGTGCCAAGTTGGGGAGAGGTGTATTCCGCGCCGATTTCGAATAACCAATCGATTAATTGGCTGGCATGGAGATCTGTTGAAAGTCTTGATACTAAAAGCTTTTAGCTTTTATGATTTCGACTCGTCTTGGCCATTGTTTAGCTTATGACGCCCGAAAGAGGAATCTTCATAAAGTATATGTCATGAGTGGGAGATTATATATTAGAACCTTCTTGACCGAAGTCTAAAAGACGATAGAATCTTATTAAACATAATGTGAAATAATATGGCAAATTTAACTGAGAGTAGTAACACTCGTTACGCTCCAGAATAATAATAAGCTTCATACTTTCATTACAATTTCTGTTCGTTTTAATAGCTAATCCATTTTCATCTCGAAATCTCAAACTCCTTCGCTCCATACCTACACTACAATAGTACCCCAGCTGATAGAAAGAAAAGATTTTGTACATTTTTGCTCCAAATTCCTCTCAGCTCTTCATTAACCTTTGGCAAAATCTCGATCATCTGCCGCTGCTTAAATTCCTTCCGATTGCTGCAATAATTTGGAGACCCAACTTCATCTCAACTGCATCCTTAACGTCTTCCCCTTCCACCTCCACCTCGAACTCGACTCGGACTTCGACTTCGATCATCATAGCTACTATAGCTGCTATAACTAGGACTTCTCTTTCTTCTCCCATCCCTGCTTCCATCTCTATCCCTACCACCTCTACCTCCGCGACCTCCAAAACTATCTCTCCTGTCCCTCCCTCTATCTCTCCTTGGAGATCTTGACCGCGATCGACTGCTCAAGCTTCGACTTCTCGTCCTATGTCTTCGGGGGCTTCTTGATCTCTCACGGTTTCTCTCGCCAGGTCTATAAGTATCACCACCTCTGTCTCTTTCCCTATCCATCATTCTTCCGCCTCCTCCCATTCCACCTCCAGCACCCCTGGATTCAAAGCCGCCACGAGAATTCCTACTACCAATTGGAATTCTAGGATCGATATTTACTCCCCGACGGGCCATTGGTGGTTGTGGACTAAATTTGCGGCGAGGTAACACGATTGATACATTTATGACGGCGCCATCGAGTTGTGATTCATGCATATGAGCTATCGCAGATTCGGCGGATGGTGAAGAGACGTAAAGAATATAAGCTGTACCACGGTTGGTATTGACTTTCAAAAAATGTTAGCTGACATTCGTTGTAAGTTATACATTAGGATGGTAGAGTATGAAGATGAGATGATATGCAGAAAATGTTAATGTGCAACTTACAATTTCTGTTCATTGGCACATCCAGATCTTTGATTTCACCAAAACTTCCAAATATTTCACGAAGATGATCTTCGGTAACATTCTTGGTGAGTTTCTCAATTACAACCTGTAAACGGAATTGATTATTAGTATTTGCATATGAACCTCTGCTTACTAACAACTACAATGCTTGAAAGATATCTTCATGCTCAGGAGAAGAAGGAAATAAGGGCGAGCAAACAAACCTTGGTACTCCTCGGGGCAGCTACAGATCCAGCACTCTCACTTCTCCCTCGACTTCTACTTCTACTCCGTCCCCTAGGACTTAAACTTCTGCCTCGACTTTCACTCCTATATCTCGTACCTCCACTCCTACCAGCACCAACTGCGCTTGCCAAGCTACGACTCCTACTTCTAACCCCAGATCTAGATCGAGAACGAGGTGAAATTGAACGGCGTGGAGAACGGCTGCGCGACCGGGTGTAACGTGATGCGCTGGAATCTGGAGTTCGTGAACGGGAACGTACACGAGAGCGACCGCGGGGGACAGGCGAGGGGGTTGGTGAGGGCATTGTTGATGGGTATTAATTTTATAGCTCAAAGGAGGGGGAAAGCTTGATGGATTGATTGCGATGGGGAGTCGCGTCTGGGGAATTATTTGCGCGAGGCTGGGCCGTGCACTTGCGGATCAGAATTAAGAGAGAGATTGAGGAGGGTGAGGCATTTGTGCCTAAGGCTTTTATATTTATTCAAAGTGCATTTGGCCAATGTTGACATTCTTAATAAAGACAAAACTACAATGTCTTTTATGGATGCTAGTGTATTCAAATTATCACAAGTTAAGCTTTCAATTCCATTGTCGAGGTTATGATTCTTCTTTGCCATTTCATTGGCCGGATCTGGATATGCTTGAAATCGTCGTTTTCAACTTTTCTCCTGATACCTCGGATATATTGGCCATCTTGTCGCTATTTGTGTACGATGATGACTCTAGCTTTGATCAGAAGATCTGCAGTTCAAGATACTTTAGCAGGCTTTGAGGATTGGAATCTCAAGTTTACTGTATCCTGAGATCACCTTGCTCTCCTAGAATCGTAGCCAGTCAGGGGCCAAGACCCATGATGATCACTTTGGTCCGGTACTATCATTAGGCACCTCGATTCATTCCAAAAGCTTTATCTTTGAAGCTAGTGGCAATGTAGCTTTTCTCCTTGTTACTCACGTTTTGGCTCTGGCACATACGAGAGGCCTAGGAAGCTATATTGTTCAGATTAGATAGAGCTCGAAAATCTTTCATATAATGCCCCTTCCAATCTCCAAATTATCTTTGAGCCATTAGATGGCCCGAAAATTTGCCCAAGGTTTTGTCAATTTGGTTACTCATTCAATCAAGGTATGTCCGACGATTTGAGCGCCATAGCTTTTTCTCTCTTCCCGTTAGCTTTCTATGCCATTCCTCATTCCAGTTTCTACAGACAGTAAGGAAGCATGCGAACCTCATTAATTTCTCCAAAAAGCGTAAATTCTCCCGACTATAGCGCGAGGGATCTATTGTCCGAAAGCGCCATGAGTCGGCATAGTAATCATAATACATTGAGCAAGATTTACACGTCACAATAGCAGTCCCTCAAATGCCATTCCAATTACCTAGTATTTACCCTTTTATTCACCACTCTCTACAAATGTACTGCAACTTCGTTTCACGGATTCCCGATGAGAATCCATTAGCTTTTGAAATTGTTGTTGCATGTCTACAAAATCCTGTGCACTTCGTCTAAAAGTCTGATGTATCTACCCGCAACCAATTGATTATCAATTTTGAAACTATCGATACCTAGAGCACTCAAAAAGCCGTTTTTCGTTTTAGTTGCATGTCTTAACGGTCGGCTCTTCCAAGTGGCCGGCTAGTTAAGGAGCATTGCCTCTCTCATTTAGACATATAAATCATTCAGAAGCCGAATCAGTACCGCACTACAATTACATTCCACGCTAGCTGCCAACAAAAATTTTCAGATTTGCAACAAAACGATCTCCCTTCATCCACCACCAATTCATGCGATAGAGCCACCCAAACAACTTCAGATGACAATGCACTAGACTTTTACCACGTTATACTGTGTGTCTGAGATATATCACTCCTCGCCAGTAAAGCCAGAAACCCGAATGAAGCGTTCACTAGCAACTGCAAATCTAAAGCTAGCTATAAAGTTGCAGCACTACATCTGTAGACCTGCAACAAAAAGATGAAGACCCATCTATTCACTCACCACTTCGCCATAGAATACACCGAAATTTTCAGACAACAACCTACCAACCTTTATCATAAGCGTCGTTGCATATCTCACAGGAGTAGAACACTCTTAGAACTCTGAACCGAACACCGCTAGCAACACTATCAAGAGGCTAGCTATTATATACACCTATAGATATGCAACAAACCCAACTCACCTTCTAATTCACTACTTCACATGACAACTCATCAGTATCCTTTTATAAACTTTGTTGCACATCTAAATCACATCTTTCTGCTTCCAGTCCCTTTAACCACTTGAAATTTCCCAATAGGTCACGCTAGCAACAAGCTAGCCACTATGTAAACCTACAGATATGCAACAAAACCAATTCCCTTCATGATTCACTACTTCACATGACAACTTACCAGGTCTTCTCTATTCTGTTGCACATCTGAAATACTTCTTTCAGTTTCCAACCCCCTCAACCACTCGACATTTTTCCATCGACCGCACTAGCAACACTAGCACTAAGCTAGCAAATATATGAACCATTATATACACTCACAGATATGCAACAAAACCAACTCAACTCACAATTCACTACTTCACATGACAACTCATCAGTATCTCTTCACATCTTCTGTTGCACGTCTGAAATATTTCTTTCCCATTTCCAACCCCCTTATTAATCATTTGATATTTCCATTTCATCAAGCTAGCACACGCTAGCAACAAGCTAGCAACAAGCTAGCCACTATATACACCTACAGATATGCAACAAAACCCATCTCACAATTCACTACTCCACATTACTAACCCCACCGGGTGACCTCACACCTAACAACTCACCAGCATCTTTTCACTTATATATATTTTGTTGCACATCTAATAAATCACATCTTCCCATTTCCCATCCCTTTACCCACTTGCAATTGTTCAATCTGTCACGCTAGCAACGCTAGCAACTATATACCATCTACAGACATGCAACAAAACCTTTCAGAACAAAAAGTCACCTCTTACTTATCGCCCAAGGTTAGGTGTCGAGTATTATTCACTTTATGGGATGCGGGATCATAGAATCAGATAGATAGATAGATAGATAGATAGATGTATAGCATTCTCTGGATATTTTCTGTAGAGTATGGGATGGGATGGGAGGAGTGAGATAGACTATGGTCAAATATGATATATGCGTTTTCTAGATGGTATAGACTTACAACGCAAAACGTTGATTTGATATTCATTATTATTCCATCTCCATAAGAATGGCTCATAATTTGTAGCCATTTCCGTAGTTATACACGTTTGAGATATCTTGCAGAGCCAAATCGGCCATATATTTTGGCGATGTTCTTCGAAGGATACGCTTTTGTAATATCGTGCTGATAAGTAAAGGATCGTATTTGATGCCATTATTCACAATATCATGTAAATGATATTGTGCTTGCCGTGCAAAAACTCAAGTATCCAGGATTACACATCCAAATCCCTTTCTCGCCATCCCTTATCAACCCATTAGGGTATCAACAAGTGGCTTCGGTTTCTTGACGAGTAATCACTCATCATTAATGATTTCACTTCCGGATGATTCCTCAGGATATCAACACCCCAACACATGCAAATTATCTGTCCCCTCGCACCTCACACCTGCGTAACCTCATCCCTCCTAATCCCAAAGAAATAATTCCCCACCTTCTCACTCCCAGGCACCACCTTCCACCCCAACCCGGGCACATAAACCACTCCCCTAACAATCGGACTATTCCAACCCCTCTGCCTCAAAAAATGTCCTCTCAACTCCTGCTCATTAATATACTGATTCCAATCATGGGTCCCCCTCGGCACAATCCCCATGACATCCTCCGCCACCACCTTCGTCGTCAACCAACTCGTCCACGTCCTCGCCATTGTACTCATAATAATCCATCCCCCGGGCTTCAAAAACGGCGTGCACTTATCCAAAAACTCAGACGGATACGTGATATGTTCGATAACCTCAAACAACGAAAGAACATCATACTGTTCCTCCCTCGAAGTCGGTCTCGGTAACCCCTCAATCGACGTATTCAAATACGTAAGTTTTCCCTGCAGTCCTGGATCTTTCCGCGCATGAGCTTTTGCAACATTCAGCACTACGGGCGAAGGATCAATTGCCGTGACACTCCCCGAGTTTCCCATTCTCGCAGCACTTTCGGCGAAGATCCCGCCGCCACACCCGATGTCGAGATATTTTAGCCCGGAGGATGCAGGGGGAATGGGCTGCGAAGAATGACATGTGCGAATGAAATCATGACGGAGCGGATTCATGAGATGTAGTAATCGTGAAGAGCCATGGGGATCCCACCATGTTGATGCGAGGACATTGAAATGCGATACTTCGTCGGGATTGACGGATGATGAGGATTGGGAAAGAGAATGATTGGGAGAGGTAGATTGACTTCGGAATTGGTTCTGGATGTATCGAGGTGCGGTTCGGAGGAGTAGGTTGATGTTTCGGAGGGATGTCGGACGTAGTGGCGTGGAGAGAGTGACGGGCATGATTTGTATATTTGTATGTACGTACTGGTATGTAAACATGTAAAATAATGTCACAAAATTCCTATATAATCCTGTACTCCAAGTCGAAGGCCAAGCTCTTTCGTTACCAATAGGAATTGAATAATACGAACTAGTTACCTAGAGATATGTAATCGGCTCCCAGGAATAGATTCGTCGAGGCACAAAACGTTCGAGAAATCCCAGGTTGTAAGTGTACTTTTCGTATATGATTTGTTGAAGGGAGCGTTTGCTGACATGAAAATTAAATTGACTTTTGTCAGCCTCTTGGTAAGCCCTTATGCATTTCTGTCTTCCATACATACATACCCCTGTACTATACCAAAATCCCCTAGTTGTCCGATGCCGAAGATCTTTCCATCCGCCCCCGGAGAACAAAAAATGTACTCAGGGCACTTGGATGTTCAGCTACTTTGTAGTGTAAAATCATATACGTTGATTTGAATATATATTCATACATATATCGTTCCTGGATATCATTCTTGAAGATATTGCTTATTCATTATTATTTCTATTATCGTCATAGACGCAAAGTCCAATTGTAAAATCATCATTAGATATCTCACGGCATCTCCCCACTATCATTCGGAAGCGGGGCACTCTTATATATTCATCCCATCTTCTCAGTCCGACTCATTTATTTCCTTTCAAGCACAGCATATTCTCAGAGAAACCCAAAATGCCTTCTTCAGATATAATCCACGAATTCGATACAATCGAAGACACAATCACCGCCTTCAGTAAGCATCATCTCCATCCGCTCCCTCCCGGCCCATCCCCCCTCCCAACTAACTCTCCCCTCCCACCTCCCAGAAAATGGCGAATTCATCATCGTCCTCGACTCCACCTCGCGCGAAAACGAAGGCGACCTGATCATATCCGCTAGCGACATGACTCCCGAAAAATTGGCCTTCATGGTCCGCCACACCTCCGGCATAATCTGCACGCCCATGCCCCCCTCCCTAACCACGCAATTCGCTCTCCCCCAGATGGTCAGCGACAACGAAGATCCCAACCGTACCGCCTACACCATAAGTATTGACGCCAACCACCCATCGACCACCACCGGCATCAGCGCGCACGATCGCTCGCTCACCTGCACCATGCTCGCGGATGCGAAATCCAGCCCGCAGAGTTTCCGCAGACCGGGCCACGTATTCCCGTTGCGGGCGCGCGAGGGCGGTGTGCGCGAGAGACCGGGTCATACGGAGGCCGCGGTGGATTTTTGCAAATTGGCGGGAAAGCCGCTGGTGGGGGTTATATGTGAGATTGTGGAGGATGGAGAGGAAGTGGCCGGACAGGCGATTAGGAAGGAGCCGGGAATGTTGAGGAGAGATGGATGTTTAGCTTTTGGAAAGAAATGGGGGTTAAAGACTTGTACGATTGAGGCTCTGGTGGAGTATATGGAGGAGAAAGAGGGAAAGTGGGTGAAGAGTGAGGAGCAGCGTAATGGAAATAGGGTCTGAGGTGAAACTTCGATCTATGTGTATTAAAAAAGATATCACTTGTGATTTCCGGATAGAGAAGAGGCTGAAAAGATGGCCGCTGAAAGGCAATGAAGAAGAGAGGTAGACAAATGCAGGAGATAAAACGGAGATGATAAATTTGGATAGATGATGATGAGGAGTTTAACTGGTCCTTACTTGTAATTCTATATGGGCTTGGTATATTAGATTCAATCGCCGCGAGGAGCAAAAGGCAAAATCTCAACAATGGAATTTAGCTAGGTTTTCAATGTTTCTTGAGTCTCTTCTACATTCTACTATTTCGTAAATCGTATGTACTACACCTCAAGTACTTACTTTGCATGTATACGCACGACACTCAGTTTTACCGGGAAAAAGGAAACTCAGAATAGCATTGCAAATGCACAATCATTTTACAACAGATTATCACAAAAATACAGAGGTCATGTTAAACTTTTTCATTATTGGCAATTCTACACATAATTTTGACGCCAGCAAATGCAGCAAAAAAGCAGCCCCTAGCAAGCATCCCGCCCATCAATTTATTCACCTCCCATCGCTCGTCCCAAACAAGACCAGACCAACCCAATCCCGAAATTACCACTTTACAATAAAGTAAGGAGTAAAGAATTTGAGCCCAATTGCTCAATTCATCACAAAAGCTGTTGCAAACAGCCCACAACAAAATGTATAGCCCTAAGAGCGAGCCAGTCCAACGTGGAAGTAGGTGCCGTGAAGCTTGATACCAAGTGTGATGCATGTGAGAGTAAGAGACCAATATCATAATTATTGCCATGAGCCACAACCCCGAAGTTATTTAATCAGAAAACAAGGTCGTTTGCTTCATGATGTCTAGAGATTCTTTATTCCACCGAAAGAGAAACCGCCTAAAAGTCACGAGATCGCGATAGAATCTCAAGAACGCCAATATCGAGATAACAAAGCCTTTTTGATAGTATGCAGTACTGTCGAACATCAAGAGTGAACGATCAGAGAGAAATGAAAGAATGAGTCGTGATGTGTACAGGGTATCAAACATAGTTCATGAAAAGATTCATAGCACTATGAAAACCAGAGAATCGTTTAAAGCAGGCAGAGAAAGAAAGTTTCAGACGATACGATATGTTCATCATTGAGCTGTGGCCCATAGATCGCCCATTCTTGGCTTCATATCATATTGTTCTGGCTCCGTACTCTGTGGTCTTCTCATATTTGAATTTGGGTAATACATCTGGCCAATCGCTGCGCCAGATCCATACGGATCAGGATCTGGATAGACGTAATTGTTGTTGTGCGATGGAGATCCCATGTGAGATGGTGATTGCCAACCCATGTTGGTCATGTGTGGGCTACCACTTGCGCTACCAGGTTGACGTTGTTCCATGTTGGCAGGAGGCTCTAGAATGTTTGGTGGGCCATAACCGGTTGGGTGGGAGGTAGGTCGTTGTTGCTGCATACCATTTGCAAAAGCAGTAGAGACTGGTGGTGGCTGGCTTGGTACACCATAGTCACCACGAAGATGACCAGGTAAAGAGCTGTTATTCATGTAGCCGTAATCACCAGGGTGGCGCTGCATGTTATTCATTGGTGCCATGTCAGAACTTGGAGAAGCAGAGAGATGTCGGCCTGGTGAAGGAGTTGACATTGGAGATCCATTGTTTGAATATGACTCGCCATCGGAACGTTGTCTACTAGGTCTGTTATTACCAGGTCGAGTGGCGAGAGCAGCGGCAGTTGCGGCAGCAGCCTCTTCGACAGTTCCGGTATGATGATTTTGGTGGCGTGTCAAAGTGGTTCTTCGGGTGAAAGTCTTTTGACAATCGGCATATGGGCACTTGTATGGACGCTTTCCGGAATGAATGCGCCTATGTCTAGCAAGAGAACTGGAATCACTGAAGGGCTGTCTTGAATTAGCAAAATGCATCAACCCATACGTAAATAATCCTCACCTTTGCACAACGTTCGCAAGTGTGAGGTTTTTCACCAGTGTGAACTCGAAGGTGGACTGTTAAAGCTGATCTTTGAATGAATTGTTTGCCACACCCCGGATAATCACAGACATGAGGTCGGACACCACTGTGAATTCGCTCTAGATAAAGGGGTCAGCAACTCGACTCCGATCATAATAATTTTTATCAAGGAACTTACCATGTCTTGCAAGGTCACTTCGACGAGCAAATCCTTTGCCACATGTACTACAAGGAAAAGCTTTTGTGACTGTGACATCTCCAGGTTGACGTTGACGCGTGTTATCTTGTTGTTGTGTGGGCATCATACCGTTATCGAAAGGAATCTCAGGGCGGTAAGGTTGTTGCATCATTGGCATCGCATTTTGCATACCGGGAGGTGAAGGATAACGCATGCCATTTGGAGCTCCGTTCATTACATTCATTCCCATTCGTGGTGTAGAATATTGAGAATGTTCAGAACCATGAGGAGAAGTACCTCTCTCGGATCCAGCGTCAGACATGCGCATTCCGTTGGCTTGGGATATAGTTTGGAGTAAGTGTAAATCTTGAGCCTGAGCCTGAGCTTGACCACTTGCTGATGCTGCTGCCGCCGCCGCTGCTCCTTTCACTCCTTTCGAATTAACTATTTCTTTGATATCCATAATGAGATGATTCCTTTTCAAGATTCCGTTGGCTAGGAAAAATGAAGTAAAGAGGAATAAAAGAAGATTATAGGACGTGATCGACGCTTGGATCAGGCGTTCGTACCAAGTTTTGAAATCTGGTACCGTGTCTCGAAGGTTGCTTTGTGTCTCGGGAACCAGTGTTCGAGAGGCTGTAAGTGGTATGCAAGAATATTAAATAGAAAATACTTTGCAAAGATTTAGATTGGGCCGTAATGACCAAAGTGACCGTAGTGAATTGAGTAGAGTAACGTGATTGAAAGTTCTTCGTTCCAATCAAAAAGGTAAAGTGACTTTTTAGAATGACTTCTTCTGAGGGGATTTTGCCGCTTTTCACTTTTTTCAAAAAGTCTATAGTGGGTGAATATTAGCAAAGTGTTATGGGGTAAGAGATGCAATGCTGTGTGTAGTGTTGGCATCAACAACAACTGCACGGTGCACACCGCCAATTCTCCTCAATTTGTAGGAAGAATAACGTAGAGTTAATAAGGGTGGATGAGCGGGTGAGTGGATCCAGTATGTATGCACTGTCTGTACTGTGTGTGTATGTGTGTAGATATGCAGATATCCGAGCTTGCTTACCTTATTATTGATGACTAGGTCACTGTCCACTGTCCACTGTATGGCTTCAAAGATCAAAAAAAATTAAAAAATTGACCCCGACAATTTTCACGAGCAGTTAACTATGTCAAGTCCGCCAATCTGGACACTGGGTGGGCGGGGATGCAGGAATGTCACAACGCACGGGCAACCGTACAGACCGGTTAAAAATTGATTGACTCTTCTTTTAATCCTTCTCAAATCAGAGAGGATGGTGCTTTTCCAATTTATGGAACGCTGCTATTGCTCGAGTCTCTTGGCTTTAGTTTGCTGGTTTAGTTTGCTGGATTGGAACAATCTCCTAGACGCGACTGCGCATGCGTGTTTCTTGATTCCAAGGGAAGTACCGTACCGTAAATACACACTGGTTCGTATGGGCTAGCAATGGTTCCCAGAACTGGAGAATATGTTTGCACCTCTTTTGACTGATGCTGGTTCGGAATACTGCAGTGTCTGAGGCACGAGCCAAAGGTTCGTCTGATGAGATGATATATTGGATCAGTGGTGAATGTGAGATGTGATGAGGCAGAGTGTCTTTGAAGTGGCGCGTTTTCGAATTTGGTTTGAATAGAGTTTGGTGAATCCGCAAACTTGTTCTCGCAATAAGAACTGAGCTTAGTCCAACACTCCTTTTTTATCCTTATGTATGCGCTCTTGAGACTCGAGACCGTTCCCCGATATGCAGAGTCTTAACACAAACTACTCGCGTCGCAAAGTTATATCTGTTTGTAGAATCTGTTTGTAAAACGCGTCTTGAGTTGGAGAAGTAATTGATCCTTTCAAGAAGTCGAGAAATCGAAAGAAAGATTCGGGTAGATCTTCTAGTATTCCATCAGACGTTAGTGATTTGTTTCCCTACCGTGGGTAGTTGATGGGTAAGGATATGCAAACTTACATTGAGATTGTAATCCGATCTTACGGGATTGAACTGACGTTGGAGTGAGGTTGTAGTTTTCCAGGTGACACGAAGGTTATTAAGATGCCTCGGAAGGAACCATGCGGTTGCTGCAGGGCGGAGAAGAGATCTCGAGATGGAGGCTGCTTCTGGGCTGAACTAGAAGCTCGGGATACAATGCGGCAGGTACTCTTTCTTGATCGTTAATAATGCGCCGATGCCGATTTTATAGATTTAATGTGAGAAATAATGTACAATCAAGATGAAATGGTCTGTTGATGCTCTTCAATTAGAAACCACAAATGATGAGCTAAGATATCAAAGCGTAGATGCTATTGTTGGAGAGGAGGACGGGCGAGGAGTTTAGAGAATGAGATAGGGAAGGTTCATGTATCGTGGGAAGAATGAGATGCTCTCGCTCTCTCTCTGTCTCTCTCTAGCTACTCACAGATGATTTTAAGTGGTCTAGCGTTTTGATGTGTGGATCAGACTTCTACTTCTTTTTTTTCTTCTCGAAAAAAGAGGGTGAGATATTTGGGTACCTGGGTATCTGGGTACCTGGGTATCTGGGTATCTGGGTGTCTGGGTGTCTGGGTGTCTAGGTGTCTAGGAAGGAGAATTGACAAGGAATGCGGAAATATTGAGAAGAGACTGGGAGCAATAATTGAGGGAAAGGGTGGGTTGTAGAGATATTCGGCCTTCGAGGGGAGGGGGGGAACTTGGGAAGAATGAGAGAGAGAGGGGGGGGAATTAATGAACTAGAAGCACAAGAAAAGGGTTCGAATCCTTCTTTTGGCCTTCTATTCGGCAATAGTGGGTGTATTACGAGGGTATTTAGAATTTTTAGATGGATGTCGATGCTTTTTTTTGTTTTTGTTTTTAATTTACAGGGGCTGATTAGATTTTGCAGGCTTTGTTGATGGAGACCTTTTGGAAATCCTGGTTTGCTGGTACGATAAAAAGAAAAGTCGCTAAAAGCTTAAAACAGGGTGGTCAGAACTTTAGTCCTCGATTTACCAGGTATAGTCAGTCTCTATAGGGGAATTGTGAGGAGAGACTTGGATGAAGCAGGGCAAGGGAAAAGAGAAAAAGAGGACAAGATTCATGTCAAGACTCAAGAGTCAGGAATTGAGACTTGATGGAATAATAATAGATTT